ACCTCCATACTGTTTTCCAGAGTGGCCACCAGACAATACATATAGAGTGCAAATGTAGGTTTTCGAAAAACTAGCTATTATGTTTATCAGATGGGAATATGGAAAGGGAACAATTTTAATTCACACTAGGACAAATCTTGTGAAATTGTGTGCTGTGTTAATAACAGAAGAAAAAATGTCTAAAGAAAGGGCAGGCAGGTTTCACATGATAGGAAAGTGCTTTATATTTTTAAGTCACAGTAGAAGCCTTCTGACTTGTAGGTTGGCTCATGGAAAAGTAGGTTAAAGTGAGAATCCATTAAAAAAGCATACATATACACTGTGAAGACATTAGTTTAGCAATTAATGCAAATATTCTGATAGAGGTCCAGGCCTTCTCGCTGAGGAGAGGTCCACTCACTGGAGCTCTGCACTGATGTCTTTATATAAGCAATACCCTTACTACAATGTCTGGGATTGCCAGAATCAGTCACTTTAAAGCCAAACAGGAACAGAAAGGCATTTGGAAAGTAATTCCTTCCATATTTTTATGATTCCCCCTCCCCATCTTTATGGTTTACTTGCCCAAACTAATTCAATAGTAGTTTCTTTAACAACAACAACAAAAAATCTCTTCTTTATGAAGGTCTTTCCAAAATATTAAAATTAGCTTTCTTAAGAACAAAAACACTTTCCATACTTATATTTCATGAATTTATACAATAATCAAAAAATTACTTACCAATAATATAAATAGATTTTGGAACAAACACAACTAACTAGCTTTAACTAAAGATATAGCTGAACTGGAAGAAGCAAAAGTACCAGATATAGCAGAAGACCACCAATTTCTAATTTTCCAGTTAATGTTGGTATCAGTCAGTGGGTTTTAGAGAACAGAATGTTGATTAATTTAGCAAGTCAGTTAATTCAGTGATAATTGCCAAAGAAGTTAATGCCTGCAAGTCATTCATTCTAAATTGTCATAATCTGATTTCCGATTTCAAGTCACAATCTGACATGAAAGAAAAACAATATAATGGTTAAAACTTTTAAGGTTGGTATTGTTAGAATTAGGCCCACCCACACCTCCAAAATCTCTGAATTTACTAATTTCTATTTTGCAACTCAGTCTAAGTAGATCACAATACTTCTACTCATGCTTAAATACCATAGCTTATACTCTGAATGTTACTATTAATATAATGTCTTTCTAGAATTAGTTTTCTTTTAAAAGTGTTTTTCAAACCTTTTTTTGTGTGTGTGTGTGGTAGAAATAGTACCATTTCCCCCCTACACTTTTTTTTTAAAGATTTATTTATTCATTTGAGAGAGCGAGCACGCGAGTGTGTGAGTGGACTGGGGGGGTGGGGAGGAAGAGAGAGAATCTCCAGCAGACTGAGCATGGCGCCCAAGGTGGCACTCGATCTCAGGACTCTGAGATCATGACCTGAGCCCAAATCAAGAGTCAGACATTTACTGACTGAGCCACCCAGGTGCCCCCTGACTCTTTAAACAAAATGTTCCCAGAATTATAATATATAAAATAATGAGGGTAGAGCCACTCTGAAAGTAAGGTCGAACTTCCCAGCTACCCCCAGAACAGTCTCTGAAGCCTTTCTGCAGAACTCAAGAGCTTCTTGGGACAAAGGCTGAAAAGTGTTCCTTTAAACTATAATCAGGGATGCGTGGCTGGCTCAGTCAGTAGAGCATGTGACTCTTGATCTGAAGGTCGTGAATTCAAGCCCCATGTTGGGCACAGAGCAAGCTATAATCAAAAACAAATATTAAAACAAAAAAGTTATAGAACTTATTAAAAGGATATTACTTAGCTAATTAGAATATTCAGTTAACCAAAATAGTTTCTGATTCTTATCAGCTGCTCTAAGTTTGAAACTATAGTAAAAGCAATAATGAAAGAAACAACAAGTGTTGGCGAGGATGTGGAGAAAAAGGAACCTCGTGCACTGTTGGAGGGAATGCAAAGTGGTGCAGCCACTGTGGAAGATAGTATGCAGGTCCCTCAAAAAGTTCAAAATAAAACTACCCTATGATCTAGTAATTGTACTCCTGGGTATTTACCCCCAAACACAAAAACACTAATTCAAGGGGATATATGCAGCCCTATGTTTATTGCAGTATTGCAACAGCCAAATTATAGAAGTAGCCCAAGTGTCCACTGATAGATGAATGGATAAAGAAGAAATGGTATATACATATAGAGTGGAATATTATTCAGCCATAAAAAAGAACGAAATCTTGCAATTTGCAACAACATGGATAGAGCTAGAGAGTATAATGCTAAGTGAAATAAGTCACTCAGAGAAAGACAAATACCATGATTTGACCCATGTGGAATTTAAGAAACAAATGAGCAAAAGGAAAAAAAGAGAGAGAAGAGACAAACCAAGAAACGGACTCTTCACTATAGAGAACAAACGGATGGTTACCAGAGGGGAGGAGGCGGGGGGGAGGATGGGTGAAACAGGTGATGGGGATTAAAGATTACACTTACCATGATGAGCACTGAGTAATGTAGAGAATCACTGATTCACTATATTGTACACCTAAAACTAATATAACACTGTATGTTAACTATACTGGAATTAAAATAAAAAACTTAATAAAAAATCTTAAAAATAATGAAAAAATTAAAATATTTTGCTAAACTGGGTATTTTATTAAATTTGAGTTATTTTTCTTTGCACTTAATTAATTTAAACTGTCCTAAAGTAGAAGAGATTCAATGACACGAAAGTCAAACTGAAGAGAAAAAAAAAATTTTTAATCTCAAAAGGGATTAAAAAAACAGGTCAGGTTGATGAATGATGAACAAATTATGTAAATATCTACATCTTATTTGTAGTCTCTTAAGTAAATGTATCAAAGCAAGAAGTTCTGCCATTATTCAGTTACCCTCCTAAAATCTACTCAGAGGCAGCCTGACATCAAAGAGGTAGAGAGCAAACATGTGTCCAGCCCAAAAAGCTGTTCTATCTAGTCATATAATCTAAATTTGTAAGTATGAAAAGGGGATGAGCAGAGACCTAGCTGGATCTCCTTACTTTCTCATTCGATATTATCATCTTCCTGTCACCTAGAAAGATAACAGGTAAGATCTAAATAAAATTATTTCCCACCTACAATTTGTCCTGGATACAGGTAGAAAAGCAAAGTAACTGAAACAGTATTTATGCTGATCTGACACACTTTTCTATAATTCTTTCCTTTTTTATTTTGGGGGGGGGTGAGAGGGAGAAGGGGCAGAGGGAGAGGGAGAGAGAATCTAAAGCAGGCTCCATGCACAGCGTGGAGCCCGATGCAGGGCTCAATCTCACAACCCTGAGATCATGACCTGAGTCAAAATCAAAAGTCGGACACTTAACCAACTGACCCACCCAGGCGCCTCAATACTTTCAAAGCATAAGTGACAGGTAGCTATAAGAGACCTAGGGAAGGATTTTGGAAATAACCTAAGCATTTCTACATATAGAAATCAAGAAATTTAATAAATGTTCTGTGAAAAGTATAAACCTTCTTTCCATGATGAATTAAAAACTGGACAACAAAGGATTTGCTCAGACAGAAAGTTTCTCCCCAGAAAACAATGTATGCAGATATAGAGCTATAATTGTTACCTACATAGCCATTAGGGTATGTACACATAGACAGGAAGGGAATGAAAGTCACCAAACTATTCAGTTCAATTCTTGGCTAAAGTGAACTACTCCCCTTAGCACATTATTAGAAATAACATGACCGGTCTTGTAGGACCAGAGATGACTAGAACTTAAGCCTTGACTCTTGTTTATTATTAAAAGAAAAAGAAAAGCACTCTGAGGGTATTTCAGACTTTCAACAATACAAGTAGAAGTCAAAGCCCTTTCCTAACTACTATTATCTTCTACCCGCCATTTTGTCACCATAGTATCCCTTTTTACTCATGTAATTACCAATTTTTAAAATTGATTTGTGTACTTTTTTACTATATATTCTCTTTCCCTCCAGTAGAAGTTGTTGCCCCAACTTCATGAGAGCAGACAAAGAGCTAGTCTGACTAGTTTACCAGCCCCTACGACAGTGCCTGCCAAACTGAAGAGGTCCAGTAAATATTTAGTGAATGATGAATCAATGAATGGATGAACAAACAAATCAACTCCTGCACCAGTAAGACTGCCCCTCTTCATGATCCTCAGTCATGAAGGTACTGATTCTGAGTTATTTGGAAGGTGAAGTGGGAGTCTCTGGTGAGAATGATTGGATCCTAGGCAGTCAGATGGAAGCAGGAGTTGAAAGGTTAACTGTTGCAAGTAACTACAAAACAAAGAGATGCAGGCATTTAACTCTGCTAAGTACACAAAAAAAGACTCTAATACAGTGACTGCTCCACAGGCTAGACAATTTACTTGCAAAATTATTATGAGCCATCCGTCTGACCCCAAACAAACAATTGTTAAACAGATCACTTAGCTGGCAGGAATGCATGTGGAGGTGAGGTTGCTTCAAGCACATAGTAACTTCTGTAACAGAACACGTGCTTCTACGGCATTAGTTGTCAATGAAAAATTAAGACAATAAATGTTGCAACAAATTCGAGTATTTAACCATTTAAAGCTATACTGTACATAAAATAAATTCAAACCATATTATGGCACTTACTAGAAAAATATCTAGTCACGAACACTGGTACTTAAAATTCTGTGATGCAGTAAGTATGGCCTGAGAATCAAATCAGACATTCTAGTCCCTAAGGCATTCTTTAATATTATGCTCAAACATATAACATAATGACAAAACTAATGTTTTAAAATTGTAATGAAATGGTGAAAAAGAACAGCATACATAAAAGAATATCCACAAAGAAATAAATACCCATGAAATAAATATCATAAAATTCCTTCCACAAACATAAGGAAACATGTATACTACATTTGCAACTTGTAATAAATCTGACTGAGCAGGTGAAATATTCATAATTCAGCAGAGTTATCTGTAAAATGTATTTTTTGTAAAGTTAATACCTGATGTTCTGGCTGCAAGTTAGGTCAGCTTGTAAAAATAAAGATGGCCATTGCACCTGGGTAGCACCCATGGGAGCATGATGAAAAGCTTATCCATTGCAAGGAGGAGATGAGAAGATTTCTTTGCATAAAATAAAACAGTACGTCACTTTTAAATATAGAAAATGATATATTTTTCTATTAATGAGAAATGATCTGCCACAGCCACTACTGACAGTATCCAAGAGCTTAGGATGCCCCTCTTGAAGATAACTTTAGGACCACAAATCTTCATAGTTGCCTCCTGCATAAACCCTCCTCAATAGGAATTCTTGAGGAATGTCATCATTAGTTCACAAAAATCCAAATCACGAGGATTTCAAGAATAGTAATAATAGTAGCATCTGTTTATTATATGCCAGTCACTAATCTTTAACTTTACATAACTTTACATATATTATCTGATTTAATCCCTTCGATGACCCATTACACAACAGATAGACAGTGTTAATATCTGCATTGACAGACTTACTCTACTTAGAAATTTCTTGAGTTCTTACTATTTTTGACTAAGCATGTATGTTATTTGATATATCAAGACAGGCTATCTTGAGCCATTACCTCTCAATGCCGGGTAGCATAAGCAGCCCGTTTTCTTCCCCAGGTATGACCTGGTTCATGGCACTTACCTTGTAAGACACTGTCTAGCTTGTGATTATCTGAGGTAGAGGTGTGCTGGAGCCAGACTGCACCACCTTGCGGGAGCTGACTGTGTACACATATTCCCAACTCTGCATTCAGGGACATTACATTGGTAACTTAAGATTGGCCATGGTGGGAGTATTTTAGACTACAGAAATTGGCAAATCAGGGCCTTTTTTATTGGAGAACTAGTTATTAAATATTCCCATGCCACTGATCTGAGGAAATTTGTACTAAGTTTGTCAGGTCCAATTCAGATTCAGGAAGAATGAGTTCATGTCTTCCAATCATTTGAGCCCAGTTATCAACTGGACCTCTAGATATCCAGAACTCTCAGCAGAGAGGCAACCCATTTTCATAACTGCTCTCTTAGATCTAGAGCAGATTCTTTCCCTATTCATTTCTACAATATGACTCATTCTTAAACATCACAAATTTCTTAATCACTGTAATTCATCCTAAGATGCCACTGAGTACTAGATTCACCATTACTTTATGTACTATTAAGAATAAAAAACATGGCCAATTAAGTCAACATAACATCAACTCTAAGATACATCCTGGTATCAGAAATACTGAAATTTTTATTTTATTTTATTTTATTTTAAGATTTTTATTTATTTATTGAGAGAGATAGTGATAGAGACAGAGCATGAGAGGGGGAGAGTCAGAGGGAGAGGCAGACTCCCCGCTGAGCAGGGAGCCCGATGCGGGACTCGATCCCGGGACTCCAGGATCATGACCTGAGCCGAAGGCAGTTGCTTAAACAACTGAGCCACCCAGGTGCCCCAATACTGAAATTTTTTAAATGGGCACATTAGGGCGCCTGGGTGGCTCAGTTGGTTGAGTGACTGCCTTCGGCTCAGGTCATGATCCTGGAGTCCCGGGATCAAGTCCTGCATTGGGCTCCCTGCTCAGCGGGGAGTCTGCCTCTCCCTCTGACCTTCCTCCTTCTCATGCTCTCTGTCTCTCATTCTCTCTCTCTCAAATAAATAAATAAAAAAAAATCTTTAAAATGGGCACATTAAAAACTGATGGGAAAAAATCATTTCTATACTGCTTACTATTGTTTTCCAATCCCAGAATCTTAGTTCCATATCTCCTTTCACTCTTGATATTCTACTCCTAGCTCTCCCACCTTAAAGGTTTCCCCAGTGCATACTTATACTCACAAATATCTTTATTTATAGGCTATAAACAGAATGAATTCTGTTCTATAGTAGGAAAAATTATAATCCCGAGAGAAGATACAAAATAAGAAAAGAAAATGATAAAGCATCGGAATTTGGTAGCAGGAGAAGAAAGGAGCATGGAGAAGTAGAAAGGGAGGCTTCTCTGAAAAGCAGAAGACTGTGGAACAGAGGAAGAGGCTAAAAAGGTTATATGTAAAATGCCCTGAGTAGCATGTATTACTATAAAGCTGGTTTTAATTTTATGGTGGGGAATAGTTTATTACCAGGATGAACATCAAAATCTTCCCCAAAAGTGCTCTCACTGCTTTGAGAAGATATGAATCTAGCCTAATGTGACTAAAATGACATGACATGAATCCCACCTAACTTCCCTAACTAGCATAATGAAGAGAAATAAAACATATTTTGTCTTTTAGCAAATCACCAATTAAAGTTCAATAATACTTTTGAGGTATCTCAACTTTTATCAACACTCTTAAAACATGTGGAAATGATTCTACTTACTCTCCATCCACTTCTGGTCTTCTACATACACAATGAAACTTGCCACCAAAATCTATATAAAGATCATTCTCTACAATATGGAAGATTCGTCCAATGACTAGTTTATCCTTGGCAGGTCCCATTTGTGTAAGAGGAGAATGTCTCAGCATAGATGCAAAGGATTCCACATTTTTTGGAGAGCCCTAAAAAAAAGAGGAGAGATTTATATGTATATTATTCAAGATAAAGGTATAATATGACAGATACGATAAAATCTTACAGGGGAAATTTTTAAAAGTGAATGCGCTGTATATTTATATTTTGTGGCAATATGAAAAAAATATTTAAATGGAATTTTGCTTTAAAAAACTAGATATACTCTTCAACCTCCTCTTCCTCCCTTTCCTTTTTTTTTTTTTTTTTGTTTTTAAGATTTTATTTATTTGACAGAGAGAGACACAGCGAGAGAGGGAACACAAGCAGGGAGAGAGAGGGAGAAGCAGGCTTCCCACAGAGCAGGGAGCCCAATACAGGGCTCAATCCCAGGACCCCAGGATCAGGACCTGAGCCGAAGGCAGACGCTTAACGACTGAGCCACCCAGGCGCCCCTCCCTTTCCTTCTTGAAGAGGAAACCAAGAAAAGTGCTTAGTGATGCTGATATGGTGGCTCAGAGTAGAATCTGGAATGTGAGCAAAGTAAGGAGCATCCTTAGACAAAACCTCCTACCATGGGGACAGAGGGAGGTCAGAGTCTGAGCATGTGAGTAGGGCATCCAAGAAAGTGATTAACTTTATTCCTAATACTGATCATCTGGGGGGAAAAAAAAGCCTTCAAATCCAAGTTTAGTGGGAGTGACTAAACAGTATGGAGGTTCCTCAAAAAATGAAAAATAGAATTACCATATGATTCAGTAATCCCACTATTGGGTATTTAACCAAAGAAAATAAAAACTAATTTGCAAAGATACATGCACCCCTAAGTTTACTCTAGCATTATTTACAAGAGCCAAAGTGTGAAAGCAACCCAAGTGTCCAGTGACAGATGAATGGATAAAGAAGATGTGGTACAAATACACAATGGAATATTACTCAGCCACAAAAAAGAATGAGATCTTGCCACTTGCAACAACATGGCTGGAACCTAGAGCATATAATGCTAAATGAAATAAGTCAGATGGAGAAAAACAATTATTAAATAATTTCACTCAAATGTGGAATTTAGTGATTTCACTCATATGTGAAATTTAAGAAACAAAACAAACAAATGAACAAATAAAAAAAGAGACAAATGAAAAAACAGACTCTAATAAAGAGAACAAACTGGTGGTTGCCAGAGGGAAAAGTGGGGGGCAGGGGGAATGAGTGAAATTGATAAAGGGGATTAAGAGTACACTTATCGTGTGAGCATTAATGTATAGAATTGCTGAATCATATCATGTATCCGAACTAATACTATATGTTAATTATACTTTAATAAAAAATAGCCCAATAAGGTTTTTTTTTTAATTTAAATACAGATTAAAATAAAAGTGATTAAGGATCCTTAAATTACCAGGGTGAACATGAGTTCTTGTTATATAATATTTTTAAACAGTTTTGTCATAATTTTCTTCTTTTTCTTGTTTTGTGCTGCTCATTTTCTAGGAGTCTTTTTATATACTGAATTTACTTGAGGTATGACTGAATATATAATGCAGGCTCCTTACTTCTTTTTTTCTTTAACTTACAAATTTTTTCCCAAACACACACTTTTTCAGAAATCCATGAGTACAGACTTGCACCTTTTACTCATCTTTAATTTGTGTCTGGTGTGGTATGTGCATTCTTTGGGTCAAACTAAGGGAAGTACTAAGTTTCTGTTTGTGAGAGCTAATTACAGAAGAATACTAACAATTTAATCTACCTACATCCTGTATTTGGAATAAGTTTTACATCTGTTATTTCAGGGAGAATTATTAAGAGTCTGATAGTATGCTTACTTTACAAACTATAAAACCATATTTATGACTCATTTTTAATACATGTAGTACTCCAAGGATTACAAACTCAGATGCCAGGCTAGGTGGGGACTTGGTGAGCAGAAGAATATGTGCTAGTCTAAAAGGTACAGCCACTACTCAGCTCCAGCTGCAGCTGCAAATCGAGTCCAGTGTTGCCACATCTTTTGATTCTCCAAGAAAAGCCAGAAATCCATGTATTAACGTAAAATCCCCAATTTTTCCATGTTTATTAAAAAAAAAAAAAAAAGCCTTTTATTTTATCAGTCTGGTAAAATACACTTTGGCCCAAAGACCAAAAGCTTATGACCTTTGCCTCAAGGTAAAGAAAGTCAAAGGAGGGGCGCCTGGGTGGCTCAGTCGGTTAAGCGGCTGCCTTCGGCTCAGGTCATGATCCTGGGGTCCTGGGATCGAGCCACACATCTGGCTCCCCGCTCAGCAGAGAGCCTGCTTCTCCCTCTCCCTCTGCCTGCCACTCTGCCTATTTGTGTTCTCTCTCTCTCTGTCAAATAAATAAAATCTTTAAAAAAAAAAAAAAGTCAAAGGAAAAGAAAGTCAAAACATTTGGCTGATGCCAAGTCCCTTAGATGCAGGAAGGAGGGTATGGCGATGGATTTGTTTCAGTGAGTTGAAACATACTGGGAAGGAATCCTGAGCACCTGAGTGTCCATCTAAACCAAAAACAAGTCAGTAGATCTAGATGCCAAACAGAGCTGAAAAGGTAGCCAGGAATATTATGCTTTGAGCCATACTACTAGTTTTATAACTCCACAGAGTATAATATTAAAGGTCCTTAAACAAGGACCTCGAAAAAATAGTTCTTTCTTGTACAGAGCCAAGGATGAAGCACACTCTATGCAGACACAGGCTATGAGTTGCCCTCTAGAGGCAGCGCAGAGTCAGACCAACCCAGCGGTGCCAAGAACAGCTACTGTGACGCTCCATTCATGAACAGCTGCCCCCAGAGCAGGTGGAAAAAGCACCGCTCAAAGGCAGAGTATCAGCTTCTGGGTCTCATCCTGCTTGCAGTCAAAGAGGGTCCTTCCCCCCTCTTCGTAGGACCTGCTTTCCCATTACCCCACCCCCACGGTTGACAGCTCCTCCTACCTCTCTCTCCTTCCTTTTCCTCCTTCTCTTCTTCTCCCCCCACCACCTTTGGAAGACTTTCAGTTGAAGCCATGGTCTAATTAAAACAGCCTTAGATGACAGGAAGATCCAGTAGTAAATCTAATAGTTAAACATTTATTGAAAATAACTTAGCCATCACTAGGGCCTCTTCCTAAAATAACATAATCTCCTTTATAACTGTGAAGAGATGTTTGGGCTAAGATTAGTACGACAGTAAAAGGTATATTTCCTCCTAAGTTTTAGGAAATAATTAAGTGTTAACAACTAATTATTTAATAAGATCTCTTAAGACTTTTTAGTAAATCTGTTGTAAAATATTTATATCATAAATTTCATAAAATTATGAAATAATTTTTATATTGAAGTACAATCAACTTATAATATGATGATATTATAACAGTTACAGGTATACAATATAATGATTTGATATTTGTATACACCGTGAAATGATCACCACAATAAGCCTGGTTAACATCCATCACCATATACACTTACAAAAAATTTTTTTCTTGTGATGAGAACTTTTAATATCTGGTCTCTCATCAACTTTAAAATATACAACACAGTATAATTAACTATAGTCACCATGCTGCATTCCCTTGACCTATTTTGTAAGTCTGTAGCTTCTGACCCCATTCACTCTCCCACCCCCCATCCCACCTCTGGCAACCCCTATTCTGTTCTCTGTATCTATGAGCTTTTTTTCTTATGAGCTTTGTTTTTGTTTTTTGTTTGTTCAGATTCCACATATAAGTGAGGTCATACGTATTTGTCCTCCTCTGTCTGACTTATTTCACTTAGCATAATACCCTCAAGGTCCATCAATGTTGTTGCAAATGGCAAGATTTCCTTCTTTTTCATGACTGAACAATACTCCATTATATATACATATATATGTGTGTATATATGAATTGCTGGGTCATATGGTAGTTCTATTCTTAATTTTTTTTCAAAACCTCTGTACTGTTTTCCACAGTGGCTGTAGCAATTTACATTTCCACCAACAATGTACCAGGTTCCCTTTTCTCTAAATCCTCACCAATACTTGTTATTTCTTGTCTTTTTGATAATAGCTATTTTAACAGGTAAGGCGATATCTCACTGTGGTTTTGCTTTGTATTTCCCTTATAATTGATGATGTTGAGCATCTTTTATATACTTGTGGCTCATCCATATGTCTTCTTTAGAAAAATGTCTACTTAGAATTTCTGTCCATTTTTGGTTTTTTTTGCTATTGAGTTATATGGGTTCTTTATATATTTTGAATATCAGCCTCTTATCAGATATATGACTTTTAAATATTTTCTCCCATTCAGTAGGATGCCTTTCATTTTGCTGATGGTTTCCTTCCTTTGCTATAAGAAACTTTTCAGTTTGATGTAGTCTCACTTATTTTTGCTTTTGCTGTTTTTGCTTTTGGTGTCAAATGAAAAAAATCATCACCTATGTCAAGGTCCCTACTACCTATGTTTTCTTCCAGGAGATTTATGGGTTTAGGTCTTATGTTCAAGTCTTTAATCCATTTTGAGTTACTTTTTTGTGTATGCTGAAAGACAGTGGTCGAGTTTCATTCTTTTGCATGTGGGCTATACAGTTTTCCCATCACCATTTCTTAAAGAGACTATCCTTTCCCCTTGTATATTCTTGGCTCCTTATCATAAATTAACTGAACATGTATGTGTGGGTTTATTTCTAGCTCTCTATTCTGTTCCATTGGTCTATATGTCTGTTTTTATGCCAATAACATACTGTTTTGATTACTACAGCTTTGTAATATAGTTTGAAATCAAAGATTGTGGTGTCTCCAGGTTTGTTCTTTTTTTTCAAGACTGCTCTGGCTATTCATGGTATGAATAATTATATTTTAAAAGAGATTTTAAATTCAAATAGTAATAGAATGCTACTGTTTTTTGTTCCATTATTTTTGCCTACACTTTGTTACATTTTACAATGGAAGTCAATGTATTTTCAGTGAGTGAAACAGTTTTACCACAAGCATAAGACCCCTAGATTAACACCTGAATTTGCTTTTAAATTGTACACTTACTATTCTGTTTGGAAGCTTTGTCAAGTAATCA